CCGTCTTTGAGTCATTAATAGTATATGACTCTGCTTTCCACTCAGACTTAGAGCTGAAACAAATCATCATAAAATTTTTTTGTTGTGATTGTTCTCATGTCAGGTATATTTCAAAAGCTTTTGAATTTATTAAGTGTCTTTGGAAATTTATAGTAATGAAGTTTACCAAATGTAGTACATTTAATAGGAAAGCCAAAACAAACTCAGATGTAATCTCAAGGTGTTTTTGTGGATGTCATATCCCTAATCTTTTCAGAAGCTCATTGGTTTCTTTTTCTGTGATGTAAATTTAATTGGTTTCTGTATAGGTTTAAATTCAATAAACATGTGATTACCCCCCATGTTGGAAGCAGTACAATAGGTGCAATCACAAGCTATGTTCGTGTAAGCCTTACATACGCCCCAGGAGGAATTATGATCCCATTTTTTCAGATAAAGAAAGTCTTGTAAAAGCTATGACTCATCCATGTTTATGGGACTAATCAGTGGCATAATAGGGATTATAAGTCAGGTTATTTCATCTTTAAATCTATTATACTTTCCAATAAAATTATAAGGAGAAAGTCTTGAAAATGCTACCTTGTCCACATTCTGTTGACTGGTGGAAGATCAACAGTCTGATTCATCAGAAGAAGATTCTGATGCTGACTCATTCAAGGAAGATGATGCAATGTGTTGGTTAACGCCAGGGCTTTGGAGTCAGGCCAAAACAAGGATGAACCCTGGCTCTTCAGCTGTGAAGAAATAACACGACCTTGAACAAAGTTCTTTGGATTTTAACTTCCAGGCCTCAGTTTCTTTACCTACTAAACAATAGTAATACAACATTTCAGAGTTGTAATTATAATTGAGTACCATACTGAATTTAGAGCATTTAGCAGAATATCCAGCAAATTGTACAGATATTTAGTACTTATTATTCATAGAATAGTAAATAATTCAAGTACTAATAGATATTTAGTACTTATTATTCATAGTAATAGTGAGATAGGAAGATAATATACAAATTGGCTAAAGAAAGATGTTTATTATTGTGTTCAGAGACATATGAGGACTTATTAATAAAATTATATTGATCTCACTGAAGATTTTTAGTGACAAACAGCCCCCATGTGGTATTTGTAACTTCAGGTGATGCTTTTTAAGATATTTTAAAATATGGAGCCAGATTAGAATATTTTCAAATTATGTCCATATTTTGGTTACCTTTGCTAATGGATTGGGAATAATAGCATGAATAAATTCTAGACACATGGGGAATCCCCTGCCCTCTTTAAAAAATGAATACAAAAATAATTGTATTCTTTGAGTTATAAAAAAAATTCTACAACTGTTATATAGTTGTTATACAACTATTTTGACAGGCTCTTAGAACAGTTTCTCCCCTTGAAAATCGTTCACTTTCTACTAGAGTTAATGTTTAGCACAATGAGTCAGAACTTTATCTATAAGCCAGGAGAAATTAATTTGGTTTTCATTATATGTAGAGATATTAATTGTGTTAAAATTAATTTAAAAATAATTTATACCATTTGTGGCAGAGAGGGTTTGCCTTTAAAAACCTTCCTGGTACAAGGAGCCTAGATTGGGAGTATACAGGATCAGTCTTCAGTTTCACAGATACGTACACGTGTATATAATTCAAGATTGATTATAGTAAAACAGGCTGAAGTTTCCCCAAATTTAGATACAATCATAGAGTTTCATTTATTTCTTCTAGATTTCTCAACATTGACTTGGTCAAAATACATCAAAGTATTTAAAGTGATAGCCTTTTATATTTGTCTATATACTATGAGGTTGACAGAATTTGTGCAAAACCCAGAATCTTAAATATAGGCTCTTTGCAGAGTTAATCTTTCTTGAGAGTGATATAAATAAATGTAAGAATGGTTCATCCTTTTACGATAAGCTAAATTTCTGTTACTGAGAACTGAATTAAAAATGACATATGCTCTTTTTAAATTACCAAATGGAAAAAGGAGACATAGAAAACCTGAACAGACCCATAACCAGCAAGGAAATTGAAGCAGGAAGCAAAAGTCTCCCGACAAAGAAGAGTCCAGGGTTGGATAGCTTCCCAGGGAGATTCTATCAAACATTTAAAGAAGAACTAATATCTGTTCTTCTGAAGCTGTTTCAAACAATAGAGAGGGGAAAAAAACTTCCAAACTTGTTCTATGAGGCCAGCACTACCTTGATCCCAAAACTAGACAAAGACCCCACCAAAAAGAATTACAGACCCGTATCCCTGTTGAACATAGATGCCAAAATTCTCACCAAGAAACTAGCCAGTAGGATCCAACAGTACATTAAAAGGATTATTCACCACAACCAAGTGAGATTTATTCCAGGGATGCCAGGGTGGTTCAACATTCACAAATCAACCAACGTGATAGATCACATTAATAAAAGACAAGACAAGAAACATATGATCCTCTCAATTGATGCAGAAAAAACATTTGACAAAGTACAACATTGTTTCTTGATTAAAACTCTCCACAATGTAGGGATAGAGGGAACGTACCTCAATATCATAAACACCATTTACAAAAAGCCCACAGTGAATAGCATTCTAATGGGGAAAAGCTGAAAGCTTTTCCCCTAACGTCAGGAACATGGCAGGGATGTCCACTCTCACCACTGTTGTTCAACATAGCACTGGAAGTCCTAGATTCAGCACTTAGACAACATGAAGAAATAAAAGGCATTTAAATTGGCAAAGAAGAATCAAACTCTCACTCTTCTCGGATGACATGATACTTTATGTGGAAAACCCAAAAGACTCCACCCCCAAATTGCTAGAACTCATACAAGAATTCAGCCACATAGCAGGATATAAAATCAGTTCACAGAAGTCAGTTACATTTCTGTACCTTAACAGTGGGACAGAAGAAAGAGAAATTAAGGAATCGATTCCATTTGTAATTGCACCAAAAATCATAAGATACCTAGGAATAAACCTAACCAAAGAGGTAAAGGATCTGTATCTAAAAACTACAGAATACTTATGAAAGAAAGTGTCCATTTCTTCGTAGACACAAAGAAATGGAAAATGTTCCATGCTCATGGATTGGAAGAACAAATATTGTTAAAATGTCTATGCTATCTAGAACAATCTACACATTCAGTGCAATCCCTATTAAAATACCATCAACTTTTTTCACAGAATTGGAACAAATAATCCTCATATTTGTATGGAACTACAAAAGACCCCATATAGCTAGAGGAATGTTGAAAAAGAAAACCAAAGCTGGTGGCATCACAATGGCAAACTTCAAGCTATATTACAAAGCTGTAATCATCAAGACTGTATGGTATTGGCACAAAAACAGACACGTAGATCAATGGAACAGAATAGAGAACCTATAAATGAACCCTCAACTCTATGGTCAACTAATCATTGACAAAGCAGGAAAGAATATCCAATGGAAAAAAGAACAGTGCCTTTAATAAGTGGTGCTAGGAAAATTGGACAGCCACATGCAGAAGAATGAAACTGAACCATTTTCTTACACCACACACAAAGATAAACTCAAAATGGATGAAGGACCTAAATGTGAGATAGGAATCCATCAAAATCTTTGAGAACACAGGCAGCAACCTCTTTGACCTTGGCTGTAGCAACTTCTTGCTAGACAGGTCTCCAAAGGCAAGGGAAACGAAAACAAAAATGAACTTGGGACTTCATCAAGATAAAAAGCTTTTGCACAGCAAAGGAAACAGTCAACAAAACTTAAAAGGCAACCTATGGAATGGAAGAAGATATTTGAAAATGACTCTCAGATAAAGGACTAGTATCCAAGATCTGTAAGGAACTTATCAAATTCAATATCCAAAAAACAGATAATCCAGTCAAGAAATGGGCAGAAGACTTGAACAAACATTTTACCAAAGAAGACATCCTCATGGCCAACAGACACATGAAAAAATGCTCCACATCATTTTGTATCAGGGAAATACAAATCAAAACCACAATGAGATATTACCATACACTAGTCAGAATGGCTAAAATTAATAAGTCAGTAAACAACAGGTGTTAGCAAGAATGCAGAGAAAGGGAAACCCTCTTAACACTGTTGGAGGAAGTGCAAGCTGGTACAGCCACTCTGGAAAATAGTGTGGAGTTTCCTCGAGAAGTTAAAAATAGGGCTACAGTATGACCCAGGAATTGCACTAGTAGGTATTTACCCCAAAGATACAAACATAGTGATCTGAAGGGGCACATGCACCCCAATGTTCATAGCAGCAATGTCCACAATAGCTAGGCTGTGAAAGGCCAGAGATGTCCATTGACAGATGAATGGATAAAGAAGATGTGGTATATGTGTGTGTGTGTGTCTGTGTGTGTGTGTACACACATACACAATGGAATATTACTCAGCTATTAGAAAGGATGAATAGTTACCATTTACATTGATGTGGATAGAACTAGAGGGTATTATGATAAGCAAAATAATCAGAGAAAGACAATTATCATACAGTTTCACTTATATGTGGAATATAAGAAACAGCACAGAGGATCATAAGGGAAGGGAGGGAAAACTGGGAAGAAATCAGAGAGGGAGAAAAACCATGAGACTCTTAACTATAGGAAACAAACTGAAGGTTACTGGAGAGGAGGGGATGGGGGGAGGGGATAATTGGGTGATGGGCAATAAGGAGGGCATGTGATATGATGAGAACTGGGTGTTATATGCAACTGATGAATTATTGAACTCTACATCTAAAACTAATGATGTATTATATGTTGACTAATTGAATTTAAATAAAAAATGATATGTACTCTTAAAGAAATCTTTTGGAAATATAAAAAGGCAATGTGTATATGTGTGTGCTAGGTTATTCATACCACTGTCACCCTTTTAAGTCATCATCATCCTTTTAATTAAGCAGTGAGTTTTAAGACTTTAACCTTTAGGTCTTTAATATATGATCTATTTTTTAGCAAAAACCTCTCAAATTCAAATTATAATCCTGTTTTCATTTTCTTTTCTCAGATGATGAAACATGCTTGGAATAATTATAAACGGTATGCCTGGGGATTAAATGAACTGAAACCTATATCAAAAGAAGGCCATTCGAGCAGTTTGTTTGGTGAGTAGTATGTGCTTTGGTTTCTTAATGACAGTAACTTTTCTCCAGTTGACAGAACTTGTAGGTGGTGACGTTGATAGTGCCCCTTCCACCTTGTTGTGAGGAAACGTGCATACCTGATAGAAGTTACCTGCAAGGACTGTGCATAATGTGTCCTTCCAACAGAGCACTCTACGTTAGAATCACTTTCATCCCTTGAAAAAAATGCCTGGAGACACTTCCAAAGATTCTCGTTTAATGGATGTAGGTACAGCATCATGAGTTTTAGCTCCAGGGGTGAGACCCAGCAGAGCAACCTTTGGTCAGTGGCATTCACTGGTTCCTGTCAAGTAAAAGTAGTGTTTTTATTGATAAGCTGGTCAAGGCAGCCTGCCCTGGTGAGCTTCACTGTATCTTGGTGACTCTTAGCTTTAGCTCTGGGTTTCTCCTGTTTGTGCCATGGAACAGAAAGTGGGAGTGAATTAGGTCAGTTATTTCAACTTCCATTTATCGAATTTGGCATGCTTTATTATTGTATTTGGTCCTCACAGCATCCCTCAGTGATTGGTACTGGGGGTGTTAATAACATTCCCACTGAGGAGGTGAGGGAGCTAGTTAACCGAAATGTTGTGTTCCGTGGGTCACAGAGGTACCCAGGGCCCTTCTTATCCCACTGGATTCTTTTTTAACAGGCATAGTTTTGCCTATAAGTAACAGGATGAAGGGAATAGAGTCTTACTCTGAGACTTCTTAATTCCCCATAGAAAATGTGACTTATTATACTTATTATACTGTGACTGAAGGTGTTAAATAGTATCAAGTCATATAACAAACAACGGTATCAACTGACACTTACGTGCCAAGTGCCATTTATGTGATGTCTCATTTAACCTCATTATTATACACATTTTATAGATGAGAAAAATGCAGCTCAGAATAGCTTGCCTCATATTAGCCACGTACTAACTGACTGAGCTGAGGCCAGAACCCAGGTGTGGCTAAGGTGAGAGCCTGTGGTCCTAATCACCACACTATGCTTTTCTATTTATTCAGGATCTTTGTGTGTTTGGCTCTCCTTCTAGCACTGGTGTTAATCAACACAATACAAGTCTTTGCAGATTTCCTGCCTTGTGCAGAAGACCTGTGTGTAAAAAAAAGCATTAGATGGTTCAGTAGATATTCATCTCAATCGCAGATATTCATATGAAGTGGGAACCCAAGTAGGGAGAAGGGAATTGTAAGAACACTTAGGAAGAGCTGGCAAAGTGGCAAAAAGACTGGTGGGCCTATTACAGGGACACAGTTTAGAGATGAAGAGAGCCCGAACCTGGAGTAGTGGCAGCAGAAGTGATTTCAGATGTTTTTATAAAGTAGTATTTTCAGTAACATAGGTGATGAGATGTGGGAATTGAAGACAAATTGAGAAACTTCATGCAGAGTCAGAGGCCTCTATTTCTTTCATTATTCACCATAACTTTTTAAAATCTATCTATTTTTGCTTTTATCCCTATGAAAGTTGCCTGTATCATTAATAAATCGGTCTTGAAGGGGCGGGGTGTGGGAGGTTGGGGGAACGAGGTGGTGGGTATTAGGGAGGGCATGGAGCACTGGGTGTGGTGTAAAAACAATGAATACTATTATGCTGAAAAGAAATAAAAAAATCAGTTTTGTGTAGATTTTTCATAATCTTTATCAAAGAGATTATTTGGTTCTCTGTTCATATGTTGGTGAATTTTTAAATTATTATTAAGCATTGAGACATATGGAATGTGCAGATGAAGAAGACATGACTTCTCCAGTCTGAGAAAGTTTACAGACTAAAAGAGATGCACATAAGTATTTATAATGGAAGACAGAAAGCGATGAGTGTAAGACCAATGTAAAGTCTTCACGTCAAGGCAGTTTGGAGGAAATGAATCGTAGAGTTGAGATGGGCTGGATGGGTGGGAGGGAAGATTAGGATCAGTCAAGCTTTCAAAGGGGGGTGAATTCCATTTTTGAATAATGGCTTTTTAGAGCTCTCATAATTTTAGATCTAATTATATTTAAAAGTTTTTCACAGGTGCACTTGGATGTGATTACATTAAAATTAATACGTGCATTGCTCCATTGTTTCACATCTATTTTTTTTCTTGCTAGAGAATGCAGCCACAACTGAAATTTCTAAGAGATATTTTCTACTACTCAGAAGAAACTTTAAAGATTAGTGTATCAATCCACAGCCTGTGATAATTATTAGTTGGGTTTTAATGCAGCTTTTAAATTTTCTTTCAGTGAAAGAATTTTAGACTTTGTTTAATATTACTGTTTATTAATAAATTCAGTTTATCCTCTGCCTGTCCCTTTCCAAGTATGGTCAATTTGCTTGTATGTCTGTCAAATATTTTAATCAATAAATATTTTTCTGATATTTTCAGGTAGTATTAAAGGAGCAACAATAGTAGATGCCCTGGATACACTTTTTATAATGGAAATGAAAGATGAATTTGAAGAGGCAAAATCATGGGTTGAAGAAAATCTAGATTTTAATGTGGTGAGTTAAAAGTTGCCAATTCAGTTCTTAAATCTCAGCTTAACGTGGACAAACTTGTTGTGGGGCCAATTATTGTGTTATATGACCTAGCAGAAACAAATAATGCAATTTTAAATAGCACCACACCGTATTCTTGCCCTCCATTACTACATAAGTACGTCTTTATTTTTTGGCAAATTCAGAGTAAGGAAAAATAAATTAAAATTTACTGAGACCTTCATGTGCCAAATGTTCATGTTCAAGTCCCACAACCATCCTATGAAATGGGCCTTGTTTTCCTCCTGCACAGTTTAGAAACAGGAGCTCCAGAGCCTTACCCAGAGCACAGCTAGTAGCATGTCAGAGCCGTGAGATCATGTGGCTCCACAGGTCCTGTTTTGCGCTGTGCCATGATGTTGTTTTGATTTTGTTCAGTGGAACACTGGGTGCCAGATGATGAGCTACATTTCAACAGAAGACCACAGAGAAATTAAGATAGAGAAGCTTATTACTCACAGGTCCTGAGGAAATACACAGCAGCCTCCAGGGGCCACACAAAGACGTTGAGGCAGAGGACAGACAGGTCCTGGGGCACATGCCCTTCTTAGGGTGGCTATAGGCCTGTGGGGTCCTAGGCTAAGGCCAAAATGGTCAAATCAAACCAAAAAGAGCTAGGTTTTGGTGAGTGCCACAGGGGTCTTTTCTAAGGAGTGCACAAGGGAAAGGCCCTGGGGGGTGAGGGACTCTTGGTCACAAGGGCAACTGGGGGAGTCATATCAGGGACTAGAATTTGCTTGTGCTTCTGCGGGCTGTTCTCCAGGGCTGTGCTAGCGTGAGGGAGAGGTGAGCGCTGTCAGAGGTCCCCCACAGGCCACTTGAAGGCTGAAGCAGCAATACCGTGGTGATTCCCCAGTAAACAGCATCCAACTGCACACACATAAACAGCTTCAACCTTTGTTCACTGTATACCCCCATCTGTATAGAATCCTGTCACTATGTACTTGAAATCTTTTAAAAATCTTTGTATGTGTACTATCATTCTTAGCAAATACTTCAAAACCCATTATATACCAAGGAAAAGGTTCAGAATTAAGGAGAATGAACACTTGCCATACTTCTTAATAATTCTGATCTGGGAGGACAACATCATGTCAGAGTGACTCTAATTCCATAGTCTCTCTTTTACCTCACATAATGAGGCTGACCAAAAAAATTGTTTTAAGAAAAGGAAGAGTGTTGACCCAGCTGTTTTTTTAGTCATTTGTTAATTTTGCATTATTGGTATTATTTTTTTTTTAAAGATTTTATTTATTTATTTATTTGACAGAGAGATCACAAGTAGATGGAGAGGCAGGCAGAGAGAGAGAGAGAGAGAGAGCGAGGGAAGCAGGCTCCTTGCTGAGCAGAGAGCCCGATGCGGGACTCGATCCCAGGACCCTGAGATCATGACCTCAGCCTAAGGCAGCAGCTTAACCCACTGAGCCACCCAGGCGCCCTATTGGTATTATTTTTAATCTGAGATTGTTTCACAGAAAGCACTGTAAGTCTCTTGTCCATCTGGTATGTATCCGATAATATCTGTAAATCCCCATAACCAGGTACAAACAGCATGCTGTATGTTGAGAATGGACAAAGAAAGAGTTTCCTGTCAACACCCCACTTTGTGGAGCTCTTATCTCCCACAGACCCAGTGAGGACACCAGTGTCAGAATATTAAACATCAGTAAAACTAAATCTTTTTCCAAACCCTTTGCATTAAAAACCTGTGTAAACTAAAATTTCATATATTTGGTCCCAACCGTCTTATTAATTGCCTTATGTGCCCCATTTTGGAGATCACTGCTTTAAAGGACAATTAGATAAGTCTGTGTTTAATCTGCCTTATAATTGAATTGAGAATATAAAAAAGACATATTCCAATATAAAGGGACCTTGGAGATCAATGTGTTCAGCTCTTGCATTTTAAAGATGAGAAAACAGACCCAGGGAGCTGGTGATTTGCTCAAGGTTCCATAGCTATTTGATTGGAATGACTTGTGGTAGCTCTAATGTTGTCAATAGAATGGAATATGAAAAATTAAAACAGTGAAAAAAGAAATTCTGTTTCTTTTTGAGGGTTTGTTGTCTCTTACTATTATGTCTGTCCCACATTGTTTTTTATAAGTAAATTCAGCCACCTACCTTTAAATAGGGTTTGTCTTCAGCTATCTGTGGGAGAGAAAATAGGTAGTGTGTTCCCTCCCCACAGCCTTTTCAAGAAAGGTTGAGGGAACAGGCACTGGATTCCTCCAAACTAAAATAATTTTTTTTTCTACTGTTACAGTATTCTGTTTGTTTCTTTGTTTCTCTAATTCAAGTACAATTAACATAATGTTATATTAGTTTTGGATCTTCAATATAGTGATTCAACAATTCTATATATTTCTCAGTGCTAATCAAGATAAGTAATATTCTTTTTCTTTTTTTTTAAGATTTTATTTATTTATTTGACAGACAGATCACAAGTAGACAGAGAGGCAGGCAGAGAGAGAGGAGGAAGCAGGCTCCCTGCTGAATAGAGAGCCCGATGTGGGGCTCGATCCCAGGACCCTGAGATCATGACCTGAGCCGAAGACAGAGGCTTTAACCCACTGAGCCACCCAGGCGCCCCGATAAGTAATACTTTTAATCCCCTTTACTATTTCATCCCTCCAACCCCTTACCTTATATTAACACAGTTCTCTGTATTGAAGAGTCTGGTTTGGGGGCTTTTTTCTTTTTTCTTGGCTTCTTTTTTCTTTCTTTTGTTTCTTAAATTTCCACATATGAGTGAGATCATATGGTATTTGGCTTCCTCGGACTGACTTACTGCACTTAGCATTTTACCCTGTAAGTCTATCCATGTTGTTGCAGATGGCAAAATATTATTTTTTTATGACTGGGTAATATTCCAAGTGTATATATCACATCTTATTCCTCTATTCATCTATCGATGGTCACTTGGGTTGTTTCCATATCTTGGCTATTGTAACTGTTGCAGCAGTAAAGATAGGGATACATATATATTTTCTTTTTTTTTTTAATTTATTTTTTATTATGTTCAGTTAGCCAACATACAGTAACATTAGTTTTTAATGTAGTGTTCAACGATTCATTAGTTGCATATAACAGTGCTCATCACAACATGTGCCCTCCTTAATACCCATCACCCAGGTACCCCATCCCCCCATGCCCCTCCCTTCTGCAACCCTCAGTTTGTTTCCCGGAGTTCATAGTCTCTCATGGTTTGTCTCCCTCTCTGATTTCTTCCCTTTTAGTTTTCCCTTCCTCGCATATATCTCTTCAAATCAGTCTTATCATTTTCTTTGGGTGAATACCCACTAGTGGAATATGGGATCATATGGTAATTCTATTTTTAAGTTTTAGAGGAACCTTCATACTATTTCCTATAGTGTCTGCACCAATTTGCATTTCCACTGACGGTGTGCAAGTGTTCCTTTTTCTCCACATCCTCACCAACACTTGTTATTTCTTGTGCATTAAGGTGATATCTCATGTGATTTTAATTTCCATTTCCCTGGTGACGAGTAATGTTGAACATCTTTCATGTGTCTGTTAGCCAGCTGTATGTCTTTTTTGAAAAAATGTCTATTCAGGGTCTCTGCCCATTTTTTAATCAGATTGCTTTTTTGGTCTTAAATTGTAAAAGTTCTTTATATATTTTGGATGTTAACCCCTTATCAGATATGTAATTTGCAAATATCTTCTTCCATTCAGTAGGTTGCCTTTTCATTTTGTTGATGGTTTCCTTTGCTAGGCAGAAGTTTTTTACTTTGGTATAGTTCTAATCTTTTCACTTTGCTTTTGTCTCTTGTCTGAGGGAATGTTTCTACAGCCAGTGTCAAAGAAATTACTGCCTATGTTTTTCTTCTAGGAATTTTATGGTTTCAGGTCTCACATATAGATATGTAATCCACTTTGAGTTTATTTTTGCATGTGGTCTAAGAAAGTGGTATAGTTTCATTCTTTTGCATGTAGCTGTCCAGTTTTCCCAGAATCATATGTTGAAGTGACTGTCTTTTCTCCATTGCATATTCTTGCTCATTATAGATTAATTGACCAAATAAGCATGTGTCTATTTCTAGGCTCTCTATTGTTCTTTGATCTTTGTGTCTATTTTTATGCCAGTACCATGCTGTTTTGATTGCCACAGCTTTGTTGTCTACCTTGAAATTTGGGATTCTGATGCCGCCAATTTTGTTCTTTTTCTGGATTGCTTTGGCTATTTGTGGGCCTTTGTGATTCCATAAAGATTTTAGGGTTATTTGTGTTAGTTCTGTGAAAAATGTTGATATTTTGATAGGGATTGCATTTAATCTATGATTGTTTTGGGTGGTATAGACATTTTAGTCATATTGGCTCTCCTAGTCCACGAGCCTAGAATATCTTTCCATTTGTTTGTGTCATCTCCAGTTTCTTTCACCATTGTTTTAGTTTTACAGAATACTCCTCCTTGGTTAAGTTTATTCCTAGGTATTTTATTACTTTTGGTGCTGTTGTAAATGGGATTGTTTTCTTAATTTCTCTTTCTGCTGCTTCCTTGTTAATGTATAGAAATGCAACAGATTTCTATATATTAATTTGTATCCTGCATCCTTACTGAACTCATTTATCTAAAATTGAATGATTGAGGACAGGAAAGTAGACGTTAATGCTACTAGACCTGAATAGTATCCAGGTCCCTAGTTTGATAATTAAAGAATTGCTTAATGAGGTACTGTATGGTGACTAACATAACATAAAAAAAGAAAAAAAAAGAATTGCTTCCCCAAACCTCACTAAATATTGTAGCAGTTCTTTGCTTTCATGACCAGCAGTAGTCTGAGAAATTTTGGAATCATTTACTTAAAAGAACTAAGGACAAAGGGCTCTCAAGCTAACAGACAAGGTACCAGAAGACAGTTGGCTGACCTTAGCCCACTACCAGGAGACATGAATGTGTTCTGTGGACCGTGGAGACCCGTGAGGAAGCAGAGGGAATC